GCGTAGCACGGTATGTGTGTTTTGTAACACGAAAAGCAAAAGCTCACATTGCGTTCTCAGTTATAAGCTTGTTATTATATAGGTTGGTTTAACGGGGCGGATTTACTGCTTCTTTGGCTTAACAGGGTTTTTCAGATTAATAAAATAAAAAAATCGGTTTTACTGAAACAATAATTATATACAACTAAAATAAATTTATTTATTTATCTGTTTTATGTTTTAGAATGAATGGAAAATAATTTTTTACGCAATTTGTTCATTACCTTGTTTCTTGTATTACCTGTGATTCTCCATGTAGTGCATTCCATTAGCTGATCGATCATCGATTAAACTCACTCACTCTTACGAATTCTACTTTTTTGTACATTACAAATTATATTAATATATTAAAATAATAAAAAACAAACATGGCAGATGAAATTCCAATATTATTACAAGAGCATTGTCAGGTATATTTATATGTATTAATTATATATGTGATATGACTATTAAAAAAATCTATTTAAATTGATGAATATGTTAGCTTCAAGAACTTGGTGTTAATCCAGCAAGTATATCATTCAGTTGGTTAACAATGGAATCTGATCGCTTTATTACTATACATGAATCAATTGGAGGTCAAAGTCAAGTTGTAATTATTGATTTAAATAACACTCAAAATATTTTGGCCAATTGCTGCGGATTCTGCAGTAATGCATCCTAAAATGAAAATTCTTGCTTTGAAAGGTTGACACTTGATCAACTTTGTAGTCGATTTGAAAAATAAACAAACCTCTTAAATATGTGATGACAAATCAATTAATTTGAATATCAAACAATTTTTTAATAGCTCAACGGTCATTACAAATATTTAACCTTGAGGCTAAAGCTAAAATAAAATCTCATACAATGGATGAAGATGTTGTATTTTGGAAATGGGTTAATGATAAAACAATTGGACTTGTTACACAAAAAGCTATTTGTCACTGAACATTAGAAGACCTCCACATCTCCAGCTAAACTTTTCAACCGACATTTGAATCTAAATGATACACAAATTATCAATTATCGTGTAAATTCAAATGATAAAATGGATGGCTCTGATTGGAATAAAATCTAAAGTTAGTATATATATTTTTATATAATGTAAGTTCAAAGACAATTTTTGTCATTGCAGAACATGAGCCCACTAATGGCATTATTTGAGTTAATAGAAAAGGCCAAGTATGTTTTGTTTTTAATAACAATACTAAAATATTACAATAAAAATACAATCCATAGACACACTTTTTGCGCTATTAAAAATCTTTATTTATATTTTATCTGTGACTGTTGATGAAACAAAAATTATCCATTATATTAAGGACATATATAATGATAAATCCGACATTGTTATCAGTATAGCTACAAGGTGTAATTTGAAAGGTGCCATAGATATTATTTACGAAAATTCACTAGTTTCTACTCATCTAGAAATTACACTGAAGCTGCAATTCTTGCTGCTAATTCACCACATGTAAGTTTATCATCAAGCCTTTTTTAAATTGCTCTTACGATTTACCAATTGATATATCTCCAACATTTGTTGTATCTTGACTAAATTCTAGGGATTCCTTCTCTCAACCATTTTTCTAATAATTCATTTTTACTTTGTGTCATAACAGGTCGTGCCGATTCCAATGATTCTTGCTTATTGAGACTGCCATTCTCCAACAAAACAGTGAAATATTGTTCAAATAGTAACTCTTCATCAGAAGAAACATTAACAATAACTTTTAAAAGATCGATTGTTCTTTGTGAGAGAAGATAAGGTATAATAATAATAATTACCATTATTATTATTTGAATTTTTTTAATTCTATAATCTGCTTAATTTAATATTATATAACATTTTTATTGTAGATCCATTGCAGTGATTATGTACGACCATTTGATTTAACATTAGTGCTATCTATTTACCTTCGTGCCAATATTTCTATTAAGGTAAAAAAGGAAAGCACTGATTCATATATTTTTGATTTTTGACTTTAAAATTAAACCTTGTTTTTTTTTTATTCTCACAATTAGGGTTTTATCGAAAAAAAAATGAATTTGCAAAAATAACTGTTTAGGGAAAAAAGGTTGGATTCCAACCAGATTATTCTTCTCTTTTACAAAAAATTATGAGAATGAATCCTGACAAAGATGCAGAATTGGCTACTGCATTAACAAACGATGAAAATGGACCTTTGGTTGATATTGAAAAAGTATATAGACAGCTCATTTACATTTACAATTACAAGTATTATAAATATTTAGTCAATTATATTTTAGATCATTGATATATTTATATCAAAAATATGATTCAACAAGCCAGAACATGGACATCTTCAAACTCATTTACTTGAAATAAATTTATTACATGCTCCTCAAGTAGCAGATGCTATTCTTGGCAACAATATGTTTACTCATTATGATAAACCTACAATTGCACATCTATGTGAAAAAACTGGATCATTTCAAAGGGTATGTATGGCGATTTATTTATTACAGCTTTGTTATTACGATGGTTGTTAATTATTGTTATTATTAATTGTAAATTAATGTCCATCTATTTAGGCTTTAGAACTTTATGGTGATGTCAGTGATATTAAACGTATAATTACGCATGCCCATGCCTTACCTCCTGATGTAAAATTAGTTTCTTAATTATTGGAAATCTTTCAGTTGACAATTCACTTGATTGTTTAAAAGAAATGCTCAAAGCCAATATTAGACAAAATTTACAAATAGTAATACAAATTGCTACAAAATATTCAGAACAATTACGACCATCAAATTTGATTCAATTATTTGAATCTCTCATGCGAGGGTATTTGTTTACAAAAATAGTTGTCTCGTTTTATCTTCTTTTCCATGCAAATATGTGGTTATATTTTTAACATCTCATATACCATTGTTAGATCTTTATTATTATCTCGGTTCAATTGTTAACACTAGCACTGATCCTGATGTGCATTTTAAATACATTCAGGCAACTGTTAAAACAGGACAGAATAAAGAAGTCGAAAGAATATGTCGTGAAAGTCATATTATGACTCAGAAAAAGTTAAAAACTTTTTGAAAGTAAGCTTTTTTTGGAGTATTTTCTCCTAACCATAAATATACCATAAACATCACTCACTCAAACGTATATATCTTTACCCATGAAATTTTTGTAGGAAGTTAAATTGCAAGATCAACTCCCATTGATTATTGTCTGTGATAGATTTGATTATGTGCATGATTTAGTTTTATATTTGTATCAACAAAATTTAACAAAATATATTAAAGTATATGTCCAAAAAATTAATTCACCACGTACTCCAGCTGTCATTGGTGGTTTATTGGATGTTGATTGTGATGGAAATACTATAAAAAATTTATTGATGTCAGTTACTGGGACTGTTCCTATTGATCAACTTATTCAAGAAGTTGAAAAAAGAAATCGTCTTAAATTGTTATTACCATGGTTGGAGTTACATGCTAAAGAAGGAAATCAAGATCCTGAACTTTACAATGCTTTGGCTAAAATTCATATTGATAATAATGTTGATCCAGAAAAATTTCTTCGAGAGGATACAGTATGTATATTTATTTATTTTCGTAAATAATATTTTTTTTACACAATCTCAGATAATAATATAATTCTTTTTTGATAGCATTATGATTCAATGGTTGTTGGAAAATACTGTGAAAAACGTGATCCTCATCTTGCTTTCGTTGCTTATCAACATGAACAATGTGATTTTGAACTTGTTAGGGTAACAAATGAAAATATTATGTTTAAACATCAAGCTTGTTATTTGGTGAAACGTCGTGATCCTCAACTTTGGGCACATGTGTTAGATGGTAACAATATGCATCGTACTAGTTTAACTGAACAGGTATAGTAGAATACTATAATAATTATTTATTCCATTGGAATAAAATTTTTTTTTTAATGATTACACACACATTCATATGTTAATTGTTTTTTTTTTGGAAAACAAAGGTCAATGCTGTTGTTTTGTCAGAAACTACCGATCCAGAAGATGTTTCTGCCACAGTGAAAGCTTTATGGCTGCAGATTTACAATTGGAGCTTATGGGATTATTAAAAAAACTTATTTTTGAAAATACAACATTTAATGATCAAAAAACACTTCAAATTTTACTTATTCTTACAGCTATTAGAGTAATCTAATTATTATTTTTTTTTGCTTTATAAATATTTACATTTATATTAGCAACATATATTTATATTTATTTATATATATACACACATATATACATAAAGGCTGACAAAACCAAAGTAATGAGCTTTGTTAATAAACTCAATAACTTTGACACTTCTGAAGCTGCAGATATCACTATAAAAACTAGTTTATATGAAGAAGCATTTGCTATCTACAAAAAATGTAATGAACACATAAATGCTATAAATGTGTTGGTGGAACATATCGCTAGTCTTGACCATGCAGCTGAATTTGCTGAAAAATGTGACATAATTGAAGTTTGGAGTAGATTGGCCAAAGCACAAATTACTGGTATAAGAATTAAAGATTCAATTGATATGTAGTATTTTATTCGAAAAAATCCATTTCAAAGCAACCATTAATTTCTGAGCTAATGTTTTTTTTTTAAATAAAATTTTTTTCTCCAGATCCTTATATTCGTGCTGATGACCCAAGTAATTGTTTAGAAGTTATCAGTATAGCATCACAAACTGAAAAATATGAAGATCTTGTAAAATATTTGCAAATGTGTCATAAAAAATTGCATGAACCTATAGTCGACAATGAACTTCTTTTTGCATATGCAAAACTGAAAAACTCCATGATCCCGAGGAATTATTGAATATACCAAATGTTGCACAAATTCAAATTATTGGTGAACGTTGCTATGAAGATGATCTTTATGAATCAAATGAGCTTAAAGTTGATTCAGGTGTATATACACTTTTAGTAGTGAAAGTAGTTATCATAAAATCATCATATCTAATTGTAGACTTAACATTAATATTAATAAACTTACGCTTGTTACAAAATGTTTAATAGTGATGATGATAATGATGAATATGAAGTAAAACAAAAATGATAAAACATCACTAGACTTTATAATAATATAATAAAATTATCTACAAAAAAGTAAAAAGTGGAATCACTTATGTTAACATGAAACCTTATACTTTGCTTCAAATATAACCTACCAAAACCAAATTGATCAAATTGATCAAGTTTTACTGAAATATAAAGTATTTAATTAATTAAAAAATATAGAATGATTTAATGCATTACTATAAATTTAAAGAAAATTCCTTACTAATAACACTTTATGGGTATTGAGGTCATCTTGATGAGATTGTAATTAACCATACTCCCTCTTTATTCCATATCTAATCATATGGTTTTTTTAAAAGTGTAATAACAAAAAAAAAAAAGTAAAAAAAATATCTCTTTGAAAAGTAAAATTACTATATAAATCAAGTCACTTCTAATGAAACTTCATGAATATCAACATTAACTTAAAAATTATTACACCAAAAAATTTTGTGTCTTGAAAATGTGATTTTACAATATGAACTCATTTTAAAATTATGTAGTTACACTTCATAATTCCAAAGTGACAAATATGATAAAACAAACTTCCACTATGCTAAAAAATCCCAAATCTTGATTTTTTTATCAATTCACTAATTTTTGACAATCATCAAATTTCATTGTAAAAGGTTTAAGTCCTCTCCAATTCTTTATTAGATTATCGAAAGAATTGACATTAATAGTAGAAAACTTACAAGGAAGCATTATTGATTTTAATTTTTTTGGTAATGTTTGATTTAATACTGAAAGTATTTTATCACCATCTAATACATATGTGTAATCACTTTTAAGTATAATGCTTTCTAATTTAATACAACTATTGAATACTTCTGTTAACTCCTGGTTTACTTCACCATTATAAATTATTGATAAGTTTACTAGATTTTTACAATATTGTGCAATTGATTGAAATAGCTTTCCCAAAAATTCATTGTCATTTGGAAAACCACCAACATCCAAATATTTAAGAGTTTTTCCATTGATGCTAAGAAAATTAGGCAAGTCTGATATAAATTGTTGCCCACCAAAATGTAAGCTCACAGATTCAATATTTGGCAGTGAAATATTTTTCATCCATCTTGTTTTTTCATAACATAATGATAAAGTCCTTAAATTGTTAAATGTTGGTAATAATATATGATCTATATTATTTGGTTTATTACTTGAATAATAAATTATTGATTGTGAATGTGTGAGAATTGCTTTTTTGAAATTATCTGATAAAGGCTGACTAAAGTATAAATGCATGGTTAATTGCTTTATTTGATTTTGTGCATTAATTAGTTGAGTCAGACTATCTTGAAGTTTATTGTTGCTGCATGAACCATATATTCCTAATGATTGAATACATTTACAAATATTTGCTAATTTATCAATAAATTCATTACTAATATGATTATAAAAAACTAATTTATTAAGATTCTGAAAACTATTAACAAATCTATCATAATTATTTAATGGATAAGAAGCCATATTGAAAGTACTAAACTCTCTAATAACTGCTGAATGATCTAAAATAAAGTTTACTAATCTATTTTGTAAAATACCTAACTTGTAAATGTTTGTCAGCAATTGAGGATTATAATAATAATGACTGAAATAAAGTCTAGTACAAAATCTAGCATAATTATATAATGGTGATTTATCCAATAGCTCAAAAGTCAATTTAATGTTATTTCTTGTTAAGAAATACTTGTCTTCTTCCAATAAACAATTGATTATTACTTTGATGCTGTTTTTAGAATAAAATGGATTTTTCCATAAAATTGGAATATTAACATTGTGCCATTGTTTATTGACAAGAATGCAAGAATATAATGTTCTATAATCATCATCATTGCATTTAAATATTTCAGTTAAAAGCTCAAGTGGTAAAGTCATTTGTTAACTTTCTTTTGCTCTTAAAAAAAAAAATCAATTTTATTTATTTGTTGTACAAATAAAACGATTTATTTTTTCCCAACCAATTAAAATCAAATAATATATTTATATTTTTTGAATTTTATTATATTCCTCAAATTCTTCAAAAGAATTGACATTAATAATAGGCAACTTGCAAGGAAGAATTATTGAGTTTAATTTGATTGATAATGTTTGATTTAGCACTGAAAGTATTTTCAATTAAATTCGCTGAAAATCTTTACTTAAAATAATTTCAGTGATTCGTGTAATTCAAATATTCGAATTGTTTATTATTATTATTATTATTATTATGTGATTCAAATGTTTGGATATTCAAATGGTTCAAATGATTTGAATTATTCTATCCCGAATTGAATCCAAATAGAGGACGTCCTCAAAAATTAATTGACGATCCGTCTATGAGTTATATAGTGATTGGCGGGGGAAAATTGACCAAAAAAAACACTAATCGGTAACCTTTTATAAAAAAAAGTTACTATACTTTTGTCTTGCAAGATAAATTTTTTTTGTGC